TGGTGCAAATATAGGGGCTTACACGTATGTGTCAGAGCTATGGAGGAAGAAGCAGTCAGATGTGATGAGGTTCTTGCAAAGGGTGAGGTGCTGGGAGTACCGACAGCTCCCTTCTATTGTGCGTGTCACTAGACCTACTCGTCCTGACAAGGCTCGTCGCTTGGGCTACAAAGCCAAGCAGGTACATTTCTGCTGTGTCATAATCATTTACTTGACAATGCGACTTGATATTTTAGCCTTGTGCATGTTTTTGTCCATAAATAGTGAGTTGGATGTCCAATGAAAAGGAAGTTTGGATTTTATGTTACTCTTCTGTTTAATATTTTACCATGATTTAGTCTAGTTATATTCATCTCAGTGTTGTATCTTTATTTATTGGTAATATGTGATACATACTTCTCTGATTGCCAATTTGCTTGTCAAGGCTGTCTGGCTGTTTTATTCTCCAGTGACAGTAAGTTTGAATTTTTGATACTAGGGGTGGGCATAAAATCCTAAATCCCGAAAAACCGGACCGGACCTAATTAATTCGGTATTTCGATTTAGGTTCTTTGGTATTTGGTACATTCTTCGGTATTAATAAATTAATATTTCGGTACTTCGGTTCGGTCTTTGGTTCTAGGGTATTGGAATTGCGGTCACTTTTTAAGTATACAATATAACTATATAGATTAAGACTTGAGTAGCCCAACTAAAAATTGAGACCAATGGAGCCCATGTTGCCCAAGTAGTGCCCAACCCAAGTCTTATTTCTTTACCTTAGATTTTTTACTCTAACTTTCTTATATTTCTCAAAACAGACTTCAACGAGTTCAATCTTCAGCCGACTCCTTTTCCTCTTATTTTCCATTTAACTGACTCAGTGTAACTCTCTCTTCATTCCTCTCTTACACAGTACCACATTAGAAATAAAATTTGATCGTTTCCTTTAGAATATTTATAAAATGACAAATTTTAAACTTATTCATACATCAGATTGCTGGAGTAATAATCAACATTTTAATTTGAGATTAAATATAGCATTCCCCGATTTCTTGGATTATTTGAACAAACATGTGTAAAGGGAATTCCTAACTAGAACCGAGCAAAAACTTTGGGCAATTTGACTCTATTACTCGATTTCTTTGCTGGTACTTGTGGAGAAAATATTACTTTTTATGTTTTTATTTTACAATTTGGCCCGACAAAGGATAAAATATGATTTCATAATTAACGAAGAATATAATGTTGTTTCTTTGGCCGAGAGTGTTGAAGCATTAACATTGGTTTGGTTATATGGTCTTATTATCTTTTGGGGGTCGTTAAACAGATACACAGTTAAGGAAAGTAGAAACGTACCGAAACCGTACCGAACCAAACAAAATAATAACGAACCATGCCGAACTACTTCGGTATGGTATTTGGTATGCACAATTAACAAACCGAATACAGAAGTACCGAACCAAGATTCTTAAATACTGTACCGAAGTACCGAACGCCCACCCCTATTTGATACTGGTCTGTTTGATGTATTTTAATCATTAGGGGGCTTTGACTCAAGTTGAGTTATATTTGTCTCACTGTTGTATCTTATTTTAGTTCTTGGTTATGTTAAATGCATACTTTTAATGTATTTTAATCGTTACAGGGCTTTGACTTGAGTTATATTTTTCTCACTGTTGTATGTTATTTTTGTTCTTGGTTATGCTAAATACATACATCTTTGATTGTTTGCTTCTGAAGGCTGTATGACCATGTTATTGTTCATCCTTTCTGTGCAGTTCCTAGATAGAAAGAACAGAAATCCATATTCTTAGTACTCTGTTTCTGTTACTCTTTTGAGCAACAGTACTAATGCAGAAGTCTTTGTTTTTACCATGTTACTTCACTTTGTCATTTCCCATAGTACCGAATTTCTTCTAAGTTATGATTGGGATTGTTGTCTTTCCAGGGCTATGTGGTCTACCGTGTTCGTGTGAAACGTGGTGGAAGGAAGAGGCCAGTTCCCAAGGGTATTGTGTATGGTAAACCCACCAACCAGGGTGTCACCCAACTGAAGTTCCAGCGCAGCAAGCGCTCTGTTGCTGAAGAGCGTGCCGGTAGGAAATTGGCTGGTCTTAAAGTCCTCAATTCTTACTGGATTAATGAGGTTTGTGTTTTTATTTTCACTAATTTTCTTGTACTTTTAGTGCATTTCTTATGTTCTAACATGCCAGAGTGTAAAGTTATTTCATTTCTAATTAACACGAACAACTGTGTTTCTTGATGCACACCAAACTTTTAAACTTGACGAGTTAAATCCTAGAATGGTTTAGGAGGTGGTTAGTTTTTTTTTTCCTAAAATGCAAACATCACTTGGTAATTGGTTCTACTTCGAGGAATGAGTAATTTATAGTTTGTTTCTTATTGCTAGTTTATACTTTGTTTATTTTTCTAAAATGCAAACATCACTTGGTAATTGGTTCTACTTCGAGGAATGAGTTATTTATAGTTTGTTTCTTATTGCTAGTTTATACTTTGTTTATTTTTCTAAAATGCAAACATCACTTGGTAATTGGTTCTACTTCGAGGAATGAGTTATTTATAGTTTGTTTCTTATTGCTTGCTTATACTATTTGTACGGCATGGTTTAGTAATGGGAATTAACAGTAATCTTAAGCTTCTCAAATGTAGGATTCTACTTACAAGTACTTTGAGGTTATATTGGTTGACGCCGCCCATGCTGCTATTCGCAATGATCCAAGGATCAACTGGATCTGCAACCCAGTGCATAAGCATAGAGAACTTCGTGGTCTCACCTCAGCCGGTAAGAAATACAGGGGACTCCGAGGAAAGGGACATCTTTACCACAAAAATCGCCCATCAAGAAGGGGAACCTGGAAAAGGAACCAGACTCTGTCTCTCCGACGTTACCGTTGATCTGCTTGACCTTTTTGAGATTGTTGCTTGCTTAGTTTTTTGTTCTCATTATCTGGTTTTAGCACTTTTATCTTGAGACAAGTTCAGCTCTTTACATTTTTGAACATCTAAATTTGTATTGAAGTAACTATTTTCTTGCTGCGAATGGGTTGCGTTCAACTTTTACTAAACAATACATATGCAAGTAAATTAGGACCTAAGGTTACTATCTGATTATATTGGTGCAATATGGAAAAAGGTAATAATAGTCTTGCGTTCTAGTGTGTACATTAATGTTATCTACTTAATCATGGTATTAATACACGTTATCGCTTCAATTTGATACTTGACCAGGTAAATTAGCATTCACAAAAATTTGTGGCATGTAGAGGTGTTCATGGATCGGTTTTTCCCTAAAAAGAAACCTAACCAAGTAAGTCGGTTTTTCAAATATTAGAACCAAACCAATTAAGTTGGTTTTTTCTCGATTCGGTTTATGTCGGTTTTTTGGTTATTTATCGGTTTTTTCTTAAATATAAGACATATACTACCAAACACACATTTCGGTGACCACATTTTTAATGTAACACTATCAAATCAATTGCCCTTTGAGAAATCTATTATTTACCAAGATATATTGATGATAATTGAATTAAATAGTGATGAATAATTTAAGGACTCAATTAAAAATATATTATTTTTAACATGAAATAGATTCTTACATTTAACAAAGGAAAACTACCAATTAAATTAGAATGTGAAGGTAAAAAATTGTACTAAAAGTGCAAACGATTAATATTTACTATAAAAAATTTAAAACTTTGTATAAAAGTATACATATATATAGGTGTAATAATAAATTTAAAATAGCTACTCCTATATTCGGTTTGGTTCGGTTTTTTTAATTAAAACCAAAACCAAACCAAATTTGATCGGTTTTTAAATTTCAAAACCAAACCAAAAAGTATCGATTTTTTTGATCGATTTGGTTCGAATTTTTATGAACACCCCTAATGACATGTATTATTCCCACTTGCTCGATGCTCCTCCCTTATTGTCCCTCACTTGAGTCTGGGGGATTCTGTATTGCGATATCCTCGTTTGGTCACGGTAAGCCAATTTTGTCCAGCAAAAGTATGGATTGTAACGAAAAAAAATGTCATGCTTTTTCTTGGTAAAATTGTTATAATCGTGGATTTATGTACAAGCCAAGTGTAAATGATCGTTTCTACCTTTCATGGTCTCACCCATCCAATCAACAACAACAACAACAATAATCAAGTATAATCCCATAAGTGGGGTCTGGGGAGGGTAATATGTATGCAGACCTTACTCCTACCCCGAAGGGTAGAGACTAGAGAGGCTGTTTCCAGGAGACCCTCGGCTCAAAAAAAAAAAAGCAACAGAAGACGATATATTAGTAACAACAATATTAGAGATATGAAATACAGAATACGAAATACGAAATAGATGACTGGTATAGTAAAAATTAGCAGGTAAAGCCCTGCATCAATAGACGACCAATGACATTCTTAGTCTAACTCCTAACTGGCTAGTCTCACTCTATTTTGCTGTAGAAATATTCACAACTCTCCCCTAACCTACAACCTTAAGTCTCACCCATCCAATCATGCTGTTTTAATCAGCATTTCGTAATAAAATAAAATAATCAGAATCCTGCCACAGAAATTAACATATATTTACCTAAGCGTCTTTTAGNATATATATTAGTCGGAATATATATAGAGTAGAGTGATGTCTTTATAGTAATTCATCAAGTTTGATTGAGAAATTTGTGTCCAAAATGCTTACGTAGCAGGTCACCGTTTGGCTAAGATTATTGATGACAAATTCATAAACCACTAATACTTTAGGTCTTAATTTGCTGGAATATATTATTTTGACTTGTAAATATAATATTTTGACTTGTGTAAGATATATGGAATGGAAGTTTCCTCTTGTTTGCCGTCTTTGGATTAGTTGGAATACACTATTTGGGATTAGTTGGGATATATTATTTAAATTTTGTTGGCATATATTATTTAAATTTTGTTGGAATATATTATTTTAAATGACTTGTACAAGACAGAGTAAGACGGGATAGTGTATTTATACCTTCTTCAATTGTATGCAACATTTGCACTAACAAAAAAGAAGTTTTCAAGTGTAAATCAATATTTTCCTATCCTCATGGCTCAACCTTATAGAACTGCATATCATTTTCAACCTCCCCGAAATTGGATTAATGGTAATTCTTAAATATGCTTATCCTTTTTCAGATTTGTGATTATTTTTGTGTAATATATAATAAACTCTTATTTTTTATATTTTATGTTTTTATTTATTTATTCTTGATTTTTGTTCGATTGGTGGATCGTGTCGTTGACTTGTAATGCTGATGAACTGGAATACATGTTGGACTCACAGATCCTAATGGTAAGTTTTCTTGTCTAATTGTTTTCTATTTAGAGGACTTAAAATTCTATCACATAATTCTACCTTTTTCACGTCACAAATAATACTGGCAAATTTTAATGTTGTCGTTCCAACTCTCTTCCTCCAATAATATTGTACAACCTAAAAACTCAAGGGTATGATAAGAAAGAGAAATGGGGATAATTGGATGTAATTTTAGCTCACTACTCTCTCCGTTTCATAATAAGCGATCAATTTGCTTTTGGCACGCTCATTAAGTAAATATTAAATCCTATATAGAAATACCTAGTATGACTAAACTACCCTTAATAAATATTTAATGTGAGGAGTAAGAAATTTTTTAGGGATATGTATAAAAGGATAATTTTGTAAAAACAAATTGAATTTTTTCTTGAATATATAAACGAACACTTATTTTGGACCAAAATAAAAAAATAAATTGGTCAATTATTGTGGATCGGAGGAAATAATAAAAATAAGTTGTGGCTGGGTGTCGAAATTAATGTTCTTCTTTTCTTGTCCGTTTTTATATTTTCATTTACGAAAACGGGAAAGTTGTCCTAGAAAATCTTTCTAAAATAAGGATTTCATTGTCTAAGTTAGGCGTGTACAAAGAAAATCGATAAACCGCACCAAATCGATAATTCGAGTCAAATTAAAAAAAAAATCGATTGTGGTTTGGTATTGGAAAAAAAAATCGGACTATAATTAGTTTGGGTTTAACAAAAAAAGGTCAAACCAAAATCAAACCAACCCGATAGTACATTTATACAATTTTTAAAAATATTTTATATATATAAATATTTATTGTAATGTAATTTATAAATATATTTTAAACTCTTTCAAAATTTTATTTTTTAACGTATTATTTTAAGTTTGGACTTAATATTCTTGAATGGTAAATAAATTTTATAGCCCATAAATGTAGTAACTCAAACAAAGTTCAAATCAATACTAATGCTAACAAAAGATATTCAATTCAACACTAGGAATGATGATAGTGTTGAATATCTATTTTTTAGTTTTACATTGGTATATAATGAAAATGCATAACTTAGTTTATCTTTTTCTTTAGTGCTTAATTATGTAATTAATAGTATTTATTAGCTATATTAATTTTAAGCATGACCTATATAGTATTTTTAGATTATGTTAATTCTCATTATGGCATATGCTTTATGCAATTTTATTATTATTTTTTGAATATTTTAATTATATCATATTATTGTATTATTTTCTTGAAAAATACATTATATAATTGTATCTTATTAGGACTAAAAAAATATTTGGAGACAAGTTACGTATTTTGTGCTACTTGAAAATCCGAGAAAAATCGAGATTGAAAAACCCGACTTTGTTGGTTTGGTTGGTTTACAGATTTAAAAATCCGGCATTATTAGTATGGTTTGTAATTAAAAAAATCCGAACCAACCTTACCTATTTTTACCCCTAGTCTAAGTATGCCAAAATTTAAATAAAATTCAAGAATTACACTAAACTTGAATGAAGGTATTGTAAGTGATAACCAAATTACGTATTATTTTATAATTCGATAGAATTTATAATCATCAGTAGTTGTTTGCTTGCTTGTTCAATATAATAAGGAAAATGTTAATCAGAAAATTAAATATAATCAACTCTTCGTTGTGCATCTAGAATAGAGGATCCAAGTAATTATAGGAACTAAAGCTGAGGAGAAAATTAAACTACTATGTACAAATTTGAACATCATGTTTGGAAGGAAGGAATTCAAAAATAGCTAAATTTACAAGTAATCATTCAAAAATAACCATAATTTCAAAAGTAATCGAAATTTAGCCACTTTTCATGTAAAGATAAATCTGAACGAAAATATCGTTCAAAATTCGGAAAAATAATCCAATAATATACTGGAATTCCAGTATAATATACAGGAACTCCAGTATACTTACCGGTCCAGTATAATATACTGGAACTTTTCGCGTGTAGGAGTTCTAGCATAATATGCTGGAAGTTCATACACAGTTACACCGATCTCCAGTATATTATGCTGGAACTTTTCGTATTGCAGTAAAATATTGACTATTTTTCAATGACTTTGCAAACGCTGGCTATTTATGAATGACCAGTCCGAAAACTGGCTAACCCGTGCTATTTTTATTATTTGGAAGCACAGGAGAATATTCATTTGTTTATATTATTACCAGTATTTGATACTGGATCAATCATATCATTACTATATTTTCCCCATTTATTGTGTCAATGCACTAAACATTATGAAAAAAATATTTACACAATCAATAGGTATTGCTAGTTACTTTATAATAGCATAACTTGATAAACTAAAATAAATGGTAAATAACCTGTTATACAACAACAACGACAACAACCTAGTATAATCCCACTTAGTGGGGTCTGGGGAGGGTAGTGTGTACGCAAACCTTACCCCTACCCTGGAGTAGAGAGGCTGTTTCCAAATAGACCCCCGACATCCTTCCCTCCAAGAACTTCCTACCTTGCTCTTGGGGAGACTCGAACTACAACCTCTTGGTTGGAAGTGGAGGTTGCTTACCGTCAGAGCAACCCTCTTGTCTGTAAATAACCTGTTATAACAAGTTAAATTACACCGTTAGTATTTTACAATATTAAATTTGCAGGACCAATGATATACAAAGGAATATACCATTTATTTTACCAGTACAATCCTGAAGCTGCAATATGGGGAAACTTAGCATGGGGTCATTCTACTTCAACTGATCTTGTTGACTGGACTATTCATCCTCCTGCACTTATCCCTTCAGATTCATATGACATCAATGGTTGTTGGTCAGGTTCTGTTACACTTCTCCAAAATGGCACACCAGCTATACTTTACACTGGTTGTGACACACAAGATACACAACTTCAAAATCTAGCCATACCAAAAGATTTATCAGATCCTTATCTTATCGAATGGATTAAATCGGATCATAATCCGATAATGGTACCTAATCCAGGGGAAGAAACTTTGTTCAGGGACCCGAGCACGGCGTGGTTAGGCCCTGATGATGGAATTTGGAGAGTTATTATTGGAAATGAAAGAGAAGGCAATGGAACTGCTATTTTATACAAAAGTAAAGATTTTATTCATTGGACTGAAGCTGAGCGACCCTTGCATTGGACAAATGAAACTAGAATGTGGGAATGTCCTGAAATTTTCCCTGTATTAGTTGATGGTACTGAAAATGGAGTTGACACTAAAGTGATTTTTCAAGGGATTAAATATGTACTTAAGATTAGTGTGGCTGGTACTGGTGTTGATTATTATACGATTGGAAATTATGACCATGAGAATGATGTATATATACCAGATGATGGATTTGTAGACAATATTGAATCAGGATTAAGGGTGGATTATGGAAGGTTTTATGCTTCTAAGTCTTTTTTTGACAGTGCCAAAACCAGGAGGATCTTGATTGCTTGGGTTGATGAGTCTACAAGTAGGGAAATTGATATCATCAAAGGATGGTCTGGTCTTCAGGTAATTAATTCCTTTGATGCCTTTCTTATATATGGCACAATTCTCAAATATCTGATGAAAAACAATAATATATCGAGTATATTCTCATAAGTGGGATCAGGGAGGGTAGTATATATCTAGATCTGACTCTTACCTTGTAAAAGTAGGAAGGTTGTTTCTGATAAAACCTCGACTCAAGAAAAGCAAAACCGCAACAATTATGACGAAGAACTACGGAAAGATAAACAATAACAACAACTCAGTGGGTAGGGTCCGGGAGGGTAATGTGTACGCAAACCTTACCCCTACCCTGGAGGATAGAGAAGCTGTTTCAAAAAGAGAAACAATAACAATAACCAAAAAAAATATAATCGAAGCATAGGAAACATCGGGTAATAATAGCGATCTAAAAATAGGGAACACCAGGATAACACTAGTACTACAACTAAGAAAAAGAAGTACAGGTTTGGAAAAGAAATACGTTGGACGACTTACTAACCTCCTACCTTAATTCTCGACCTCCACACCCTCATATCAAGGATCATGTCCTCGGTAAGCTGAAGATGTGACATGTTCTGCATGTCCTGATCACCTCTCCCCAATACTTCTTCGGCCTACCTCTATCTAATGATAATCATTGTTTTACAGACGTTTCCTAGGAAGATTTGGCTCGATAAAGCTGGAAAGCAATTGGTTCAATGGCCAGTGGAAGAACTTGAAACACTAAGGAAAAACCAAGTTATATTACCAGCTACAACACTAAAAGCAGGTTCAAAGAGTGAAATTCCAGGTGTCACTGGTGCACAGGTATAATTCTTTAAACTTTTGCCGAGCGCATTTCGGAAACAACCTTTCTACCTTCACAGGGTAACGGAAGGTTTGGATACAAAAATTCCTTCCCAAACTTCATTCGTGGAATTACACTGGAATTGTTGTTTATTCATCGACTTATTATTGTTTCAGGCGGATGTAGAAATCTCCTTCTCAATCCCAATCGCGACGCTTGAGCAAGCAGAGGATCTGGAATCAAGTTGGAGTAATTCACAAGAGATATGTCGCCAAAAAGCTTCATCAGCAAACAGTACTGGTGTTGGACCTTTTGGATTGCTAGTATTGGCCTCAAATACCATTGAAGAATATACTGCAGTGTTCTTTAGAATTTTCAAAAAGAATGACAAGTTTGTTGTGCTAATGGGTTGTGATCAGAAAAGGTATCTACTCAACTCCTCCTAAAAGGATAGGCTACATTATCTGCTGCATACAAAAATCACTAGTTTTTAGGCTTATTTGTAGCTGGTGGTGGCAAAATGGATTAAAAAAAACAGTTATCCACCTATATTATTCGTTAAAAAGTGGTTGGATAATGAACTTTTTAAAAACGGGTCAAATATGGATAAGAACCATATTATCCACTTAGAAAATGGATAACCAATGAATAACTAATGAGTTTAACTTTTATACTTATAAAGACTTAAATTGGAGGTTCTAAAGTTTGTGAGACTAGAAATTATCCCAAAAGTGATCATATTCAAGAAACCATGAATAATATGAATATTCACATTATATGCCAGTTAGCCTATTTTCAATCCGTATTATACATGGATCAAATAATTTATCTATTTTGAATCGCTCATATCCGGCCCGACCCGCCTGTTTGCCACCCCCTATTTGCAACATATAAATGCTTTTGCAACATCAATACTGGTAATATTTTTATAAGCTTGTTAATTTTTATTTGACTTGTACTTGTAAATAATAATTCTGGAGAAAAGAACGTTAGCCTATAAATGTAAATATAAATGAAACAGTAATTAATTCGAGCCCACTGAATTCCCAGTGTTTCAGCGAACACAAAGTTCGGCAGCAAATCACACTTATGGTTGCTTTGTTTGTAATTTAAAGCAATGCACAAGAAAGGAGGAGAACTCAGAAGTCGAATGGAAATTCTGAGAGGAAGAAATGCAATTTATAGCCAATGTTGAGCGATAACAGAAGAGGAAATCAGATTGCTCGTTGCTTTCTGTTTTCTGTCCGTTTTTTTCTATTTTTCAACAAGCTGCTGGCACCTTTCTTTTATAGTGTAATCAACTGGTAAACACACTCATTTGGTGAAGCATTTTCTCATGGTGGCTGGAGCACTAAGGCTTTTAATTAATGGAGGAAACACTCATGGTGGCTGGAGCACTAAGGCTTTTAATTAATGGAGGAAGCACTCAACATGGTGAAATGAGCACTTGCTCACTAATATTCATAGATTGGAAAACATCCGTTACAAATACGGATAATATTACGTTAATATTCACTATTAACAAATAAATTTGGTCAAAAATATTAATCAATCAATCGATCAGTTGACCAAATCCAAATCCGAAGCCGACGCCGAGCCGAGCCGAGCGAGCGACGACGGCAACGCGAGACTTGCCTTCTTCCTAACTCTTTAAGAACTACATGAAGTGCATTTGGAAACATAAAATTTTACTCAAAATTTTCATTTCCCACCATTTTCCATTCACCCTCTTTTTAATACCTTTCCATATTAAAAAGAAACTCAACAATCCCCCACATGAATGGGGAATTACTATATCACGGAAGTATGCATGATAAACTTATGTGATTTGCAAGCAAGGATTAATTGCATCTGGATAAGTAGGTTTCCCTTTGAACTTTCCGTAGTGAACTTATGTCGGATATACATAGTCAATCGGTAGATTTGATATCTTTGAACCGTCGAACTTTAGTGTATACCTAGAAAACCATAAGTCACACAATCAACCCCTAACCGTCTTTGGTTCTCATTGTTGTGTTCGTTTCAGCCATGAACACCGCCTAATTTCATAAGTGCGTAGAGAATTGGCCTTGCAGAATTCTCCTTGAAGCGGCTAACACTTCACAC